CAGGAAGGAAGGCAGATGAGCCTGCTGTCATCGTGTAAAGTGCTTGTTGCAAAAAACCAAACAGCAGAGGAACCACATCCGAATTTACACATTTGCTACTTTAATGCTTTGTGTTGTTCTTGACACGCCTACAGTGTTATCTGAGACACATTTAACTGGCTTAATTCATCCAAGAAAGTCACCATACACCAGTCTTTATCTGGCAGTGCTGTGCTGGTAAGATTACAGTTATTACAGGGAATTTAGAGCTTTATTTTTAAGTCTAAAATAAACCTTTACGAGACAATGTCACTGATACCATAGAACTACCTGAATTTTTCAAGATGATAATCTCAATACTATCAATACATTGAGACTTCTGAAGACTGGTGCTCCTATAATAAAATACCAATAAAAATACTTACAAGTCCTTTGCACTTGCAGTCACTCAACCTTCCAGTCCACGTCAGTACAGTAACTGAGGGGGACCCTGAACACATCAAGTTTATGCTTTACAATAAAGGTGACTTCCTTTTCACTTTCACGTCAGTTAATCTGGACATAAAAAAGTTCCATTAATAAGCTCAATTCTTTCTGAACTGGACAATTAAACTGCACCTATAATAGGGATGTCAGAAACAGTTTCAGTTAAAAAAGAGTAAAAAATTGTTACAGAAACAGCAGTTTCTTTAAGCTCAAAAGTTAGCTTCTCAGTCACCTGTTTTGACTGTCTTAAAAGATGATTTAGGTGGCTTTTAGGTAAAACCAGAGTCACACACCCTAAGGATATGTTTAGAAAGCTCCCTAATACAAAATCACCTTTTTTACTCAAGTTTTTGTTGGTCATTATTCAGAACCTGTTACTGCATTGGTTAACATCTCTTTTTTCTCAACTCATCCATGCATATAACTTGTCATAGAACAACGTCTAAACCTGATCATTTTAGTAGAATGAACATGTCTCTGTTAAAAGAAATCATCATCATTTCAATGAGTTAGTTTTAGTTATTAGGACACCTGAGTGTCCTAAAATCTTTCTTTTTTCTGGACATAGTATTTTGGTGTCCTCTGTTAAGGACTAGAATTTCTTACAGTGACTAGAGGAGCAATAAAGGACCTATTAGTAGCCTTTTCAAGCTCTAAGTGCTTTAAGACATAAAATATGTCTCTAATTGTGGAAAAAAAAGATCCATGTTAGAAGTCAATATTTCAGATACCTTTTTGCACTAAGCTCCTTTCCTGGAAATAAAAGATTAGCACAAGGCAGTAAATTCACTTTTAAAAATACTTTATTTTTCTTACAACCGTTAAGGCAAAACCGTATTTCAAATTAAGTTGGTTTACATTCAGTCTGAAAGGATTACTTTTTTTAAAGCACATAGGTTCCTACCAGTCTCTATACAAACACTGTGAATTCAACCTCTTATTTTTAAAGACAAAAAAAATCAGAATGTAAAAAAGAAAAAATGTTTAGTTCAAGTTTTTTCATCCTAGTAGGCTGGTAACATTTGAGAAGTGTAATTGTATTGAGCTAAATGTAACTTTTACATTCACAAGTGCAAGATATATATTCGTTCTTAAAAATCCCTGTGAGACCAGAGCTTTAATTTGTCCTTGGAAGTGTCATTTGCATTGTTCTGACAGAAAGAAACTTGGGAACTTGGCTTGAATTAGTGGTTTTTGCTGGGAAACAAGCATTCCATGAGAATTAGGTTTGACTACTCCTTGCAAGAAATGTGTGCTCTTTCTAAGTTCTGTATTTACTGTAATTAAATGTAACCCAAAAATCTCTAAAAATGAGTGACTGGAAACAGTGAGCTGTTTTTTTTTTTTTTTTTTCCTCTTTAATATTGATATTTTGATTTAGTGGAACACTCATTAGCTCCAGTGATTAGGGTCTGGCAGCATTAAACACCCTGCTTTTTTTTGTCATACCAGCTAACAGACCAGTTAAGATGTGAGAGGGGGCCTTAACATCATGACATAATTAAGCTGCGGTGCTGCATTCCTAAAGAAAATTCTGAGCAAGTAGGAAACAGCAGGATGCCACACAGGATGCAGCTCATCCCAGAAGCTCCTAAAACAGACTTTGTCCAGCTGCTGAGGGAGAGTTCTTGTGCAAATGTGTCCCGTTGGGACGCTGATTAGAACGGTTATTACCACAGAAGGAACCAAATCCATCAACCTTCCTCCTCTCCTGAGGGCCAAGGCACTGTGTCTCGTGGGGAGATGCTGTGTGGGGACATGCAATGGGCCAGGCGACTCGGTGTGGGCAGCAGCGCTGCGTGGTGTGTGGGTGCGTCACCCCCCGAGGTGTGGGAGCTCTGCCCGGCTCTGCAGCACATCCAGACAGGCTGATGACACTGCACTCCAACACGGCAGGATAGCAACACGCTGCTTGTGCGCTGCCGCTATTTTGGTGGGTCAGGATTTTTCATCCTGCCAATCTTTTTTAATTTCAAGTATAAAGAATGCCATGAAGCTCCATGCACTGAGCATAAGGCTGGTGTCCTTACCATGATAGGGATTATGGTACCTTCGTATCCAACCTGAGAAAATATACCAAAATACCAAAAAACAACTTCAAGTACCTTTTGCTTAATCTTGTGGTCCTTCCTTAAAGTCGAACCTGTAATCAGCGTAGTCTCTTTCATGCATGCTGGCTATGCCCTGGCAGAGGCAGCTCATCTGGAACTGAGGTCCTTGCAATAGGAATTCTGTACCGAAACATCCTTGCAATGGAATCTGACAAGATCGACTGATGCAATCAGTGAAGGAGCTCAAGAAAAAAAACCAACACCCCAGCTTCAGAAGCAGAAAAGAGATTTTAAAAAACCCCTGTAAGTACACTGGAGAAAAGAAAGGAGGAAACACCCTGCCTTCCTTCGGGAGGGCTCAGTTACACCAGGTCTGTGTCACAGTGTAAAGCAGTGGCTCCATCAGTCCCTTTCACACGGTGTTTCTCACTGCCAGCATGACTGAGGGAGGAAGTGGCTGCAGGAGAGCACTGGGAATCCAGTAGAGCTTTGACAGACACGACACAAACACCTCAGAAGACAACACACCTCTGTGGTGACACCGACCAGGTGAATATGTCAAGTTGCAGCAATTTGGGGAAATCAAATTTTCTGTTACAAATAAAAGGAAGTACAGATGATTGCTAGAGCATTTGTAACAGCTTGTGCTTGTGGTAACTGCTGTGTTTGGATTACAGCAAGATAAAAGGTAGATACCTTTGAAAGGTACCTTTGTCCCCGTATTTCATTTCCTCAGCAGGATGCTGTAGGCACAGACTGTCACACCTGCATCACGAGACACAGAATCCCCATAAGCAGACTCTGAATTCAGTTCTATTTATAATCCTGTACTCCCATGGGAAAGCCAATAATGGCATTTCAACATTTTGGTTTGCGCTGCCAAATCATGGGTTTGAAAATGCATCTATAAAAGCTGCCGCTCGCTGTCAGGGCAGGTGGCAGGGAATAATCCTGAGCACACATTGTTACTGCCAGTGAGCCCCGAGTCAGTTCCTCCAAAAACACCAGCGCTGGCGCATGAACCGAATGCAGCTTCTTTTTAGCTCTTTTCAGACTTCAAAGGAAAACGAGCTACCAGGCTGCAAAGCAAAGATAATTCAGTTCTACAAACTACGTTTTGGATTGGTGAACTCAAGTTAAAACCTCGATTTTAGGATTACAGCTCTTCCTCAACTAGACTTGCTTTTATTAAAATCAAATAAAAGGAAGTCTATGTTCTATGTGAAAATGTATTTTAAATTTTTGTTAGAACTGTCAACACCAAACACTGATAACTTGCAGAATTTGTGATACTTCACAAACAATACAGCAATAAAGACCAGACAGGAATAAATAGCAATTTGACTTCACCCTCTTCATCCTTAGCCCACAGAAGTAAATATTTCCTCACTGTACAAAAGGGTTCACAAGATAAAGTATGTAACAAATATTTAAATTAAATAATTTACAAATTTTTCTTTAAGCATCTCTGTAATTAATTTAGTTAAAGTTTATACCTTGCAATTATATTCTTGTATTTTACAAACTGAAACATGAAGAAATGACATTACTTTAAATTAAAAAAATCCCACAACATATAACAATGTCAATAATCTGAGATCAAACCCGCATATAATTAAAATCTCTGGTAAAAGAAGGGTAATAAAGCTGATTAAACCTAGATGCAAAAATTATATGCAACTGATTATCAGGAAAGCACTTCAGATATAAGCAAGCACCAGATACCACACTCCACCAGATTCAACACTTCCTAAAGGACGAGGGGTTTCTGGGAAGGACCATTATTTGTAAGACCTTATGCTTGAACAGTATCACAACAGCTGCAAATGCATTTGTCAAATGCAGTTGCAGATTCTCAACTAAGTCACGGGGAGCTTTTCAGAGAGGGACAGAGCTGAAACTGTTCCTCTGAGCCACAGCGGGATCTTCCTCAGGGGCTCTGCCTGAGGTGGTGCCCAAGTCTGTCCAGGCTTTCCGTCAGAAATAAAGAGGAAATTCAAATTCAATCATATGTGCCCCAGCGCTCGTGATGAATAAATCTCCCCAAGTTTCAGCAGTTTGAATAAACAAACAAATGTTTAGATGCTTATTATAAGCTCTTTGATGTGCAGCCTTGTGCCAGCTCTCTCATGAGAACAGGCTTAGTGCAGCCGCTGGTATTTCCGAAATCTGTGCAGGACAGAAACAATGCAAAACTCTGCTCTCTCTCTGGCAACACTTCAACTTTGAACCAAAGCTCAAAGGCACATGGAAATGGCAATTAAATACAAAATGTGGTTTCTTTAAATGCTACAAAAGATGCAGTTTCTGTAAGCAGAAACTTTCCTATGATGTGCCAATTTGTTTTAAACAAAAGTGGGATTTGAAATTTAAAAAGGTACAAAGTAACTGTTTTTTTAAAACAGCACCTTTAAAGAAAATATTTCAGGAGAGAAGAATGAACATCAGATTTCCCTTAATACTGGGCACAAAACCTTCCTTTTCTTCCTTCCCCTCTGTCAAAGTACCTAGGGCACCCCAATAAATAAATAAATAACCTCCAAACAACCCTCAAAAATGGGGGGAAAAAAAAAGCTATAAGTTTGCTGAAAACTTATGTCATACCATTGTTTTCCAGGGTATTTCCCTATCCATCTGCTCTCTCTTGGCTTAAGCTGTTTGTGGTGCCTGGTTGCTAACCTGAGTTCTTCTGTGCTATGACAGTAAAACAAATTATGCTGGTAAAAATCTGATGCAAACTGTACCTTTTAATACATTTTAAATCCTAAAATGTGATCACTTTATTTCCCTCCATAGAAGGGGTATTTTAAAATACTAGATGATCTGTGTACAGGGCAGATGCTGAAGTAATAGATCAGAAATAGACCAGTTCAGATTCCAAACTTCACTAAAGGACACAAATTGAGTTAAAATGTTAAAATCTGCTCGGCCAAAGCCTGCTGCAGACACCTCCTGAAGGAGCAAATGCAACTCCTGGAAAGCGTAATGTAGAAATGAAGAACTTCTTTTGCCCATTAATGCTCAGGAAGGAAACTGTCAGCCCTGTGTCACTCTTTCAAGTGACTGTGGGAATGTGCACAGGGCAGCAGTGTGGGCACTGGAACCCACCCTGTGTTAACATCTTGTTCATATTTCTGTAATTCAGAGATGTGTTCTTTTTTTTTTTTTTTTTTTCTCATTAAAGGTCTGCAATTTAATTTAAAACAGAAATAAAACTTTAGTGTCCAAGGAACTAGTCAAACATTGCTTGCTGGTTTTCAGACAACAAAAAAAATTTCGCTTTTCTAATGCTGATTATAGGACCCTGTAACAAGCAGCTGCTAAGACAGCTAAATGTTATGTCTTACACTGTTTTCAATTCTTTACAGCTCTGCTGAGAATTTAAGTATTCTTATTGAGTTTTAGTATTATTAAACATTTAAATTATTAAATTTTCTGTGTTTTTCAAGTGTTTCACTAAAGTGTTTTAGCCACTTTTGAGAACAGGAGAAGAAAGAATGGTTATTGGCCACACTGACTGTGTCTGGTTTTCCTGAGGACCTTCAGTACACCCAGACTACGGAACACAACTTTGAAGTTTGCCCTTTGCAAAAATCTGAGCTTTGTGGGAAAAAAATTTCAAGTTACCTTTTTTATTTTATTATTTTTTTTGAAGATAAACTTTTAACAGCTGGCTGCTCAAGTTTCAGTATGCCAGCCCAGAATGGTTGATATTTTGACAATTTTTTGCATTAGCACTATTGCATATCAATTATTTCCGTGCTGGATGTTGTAGGCCTAAACCCCACAGCTCCTCAGTGCAATAGGGCTGATTGGGAGGATGAAGCAGCAGCTTAGCTGAAACCCTGTGTGTCTGAGGGCACTCTGCCTGCTGCTCCGAGACACTAAAGTCAGCCCTTTTCTCACCCGCAGGTTCCTGGCAAGGCCAGCAGTCCTCTTGATGGAAGTGTTTGAGGTCTGTTCACCGGTTGGCAACAGCAAAGCAGAGGAAGTTTTGTGCACCTGCATTTACTGTTTCTATCCTGCCCTAGATGGTCACAAAATTTAAGGCCTATGCGTCAGTATTTTACACTAAATATACCTGACACTAAAGCCTCTGCTCACGACCCTCCCCCAGATAAACCCCAAGTTGCCTTTAAACCTGTAGTTTATCCAGTGTCCATAGGCCTGGACAGAAACACTGGCAGCGCTGCCACTGAAATAAGGATCACAGTGTGATGTCCTCACTTCATCAGTCTCACTCAGTTCTTGCAGTGAGGACTCCGGTGTCTCCAAATGTGCTAAAATTAAACAAATACAAAGTGTCCTCCTGTGCCACTGAAAGCTTAACTGTAGTGAAAATGCTCAGATTGACTCCTGAGACCGTGGTGCTATGAAACAGAAAGTCAAATTAGTTATTAATAATGTGAAGTTACCACATCAAAGAAACAAAACGAAACAGAAACAGCAGTGCCTTGCATGCAGCTGTCACTTCTGGGCAGTACCGTTTGAGGACAGAGCCCTTAAAGAAGTGAGGCCGTTTCCTTATGGCTTATTTTGCATCAGGACTAAGGTACCATTGTAAAAATCAGAGTTTATCTTAGGAACACGATAGACTCTCATCTGTGCTGTCTTTCCTATTATTACACAGTCCAACACCTACAATCACTGTTCTTGGTAATATTGTCACCTTATCCCTGAGGACAAAACAACATAGCAAACACTTCTATCAACAAGGCCTAAGAAGGTAATATATCCAGGTGGATAACTGGAAAAAATGAAGCGGTGTATTTTTCAGAAAAGTAAACAGGTCCAAACAACTATAATACATTTTGTCAAGGGAGAAGGTGCTTTTCCTATCTAATCATTCCTTCAGAGTCAGCTATCACTGCAGCAGAATGCTATGAAGGTGAAATTCTTTTTTTTTTTCTGGGCTGGGATCAGATTTTTTGATCTCTCCAAAACTCTTGCTAATTCAAAACAGTATTTCTAATTCAAAACTGCACCTTGAGCTATAACAAGTTCTCCAAAATATATAGGGCATATGACATTTTACCTCAGGAACATTTCCACATTTCCTTAAAACACTTCCAAAAAAAAAATTATTCCATCACTTTATCACATTTACTCTTCAAGAAACACCTGTTGGAGCTGCTCTGCAGTATTTTAGATAACTATTTGGATTTTGTTTCATTTCATAAAAGAACCATCTTTTAAACATGCTAATCCTAAGGTATGCCGGTGTAATACTATACGAAGCTGCACATCACGTAATGGAATTAAAACAGCAGAGGGTCAAAGGTCTTTCCAATCTTTTAGAAGTGTATGGACAGTAATATTCAGCAATTTGCTACACCTGGACTAGGAAAAAGTGTTAGCTGGTTTTAGTAATTACCATTAGGCAAAAGTGCATCACCTTTCTGATTGTGCATACACCTGGAGGGAAATTGCTGAATTTGTTATATTAATTCTAGAATGACTAAGCCAAGAGGAAATAAAATTTTGTTCATTTCTGTTACTTAATATTCTGATTTATTCCACAAATATGTATTCCTTACCAATCTTCAAATTTCAAAATAAAAGAACCATTGTAAGACACTTCAATGAGCACTATGACCAGAATTTTTTTGCAGAACTCTTTCAAAAGAAGGCAAAAGATCCCAAACCAAAAGAAGTGTAACACTCCAGTTCCCCAGTCTTAGACTTTTCCTGCTCTGGGTTGAGTGAACAGCACGTAACTGTGCAAGTAGTTTTGCTCCCATATGTATTTCTGTGTCCTTAAATATTGTGGAAAAAATACTAAAAATCCTTAATACATATCCCTGTAGATTTCCTGTAGTAAAGGGTGTAAATGTGCATCAGATTCGGTCTTCTTGATTATCTGAACGAGCTGAGCATGCTCTGTGACAAGCTGTCGGAGGTCAGCCATTTTTTGGAGAAGTTTTGGGAAGAGGAAGGTGTCGTCAGGATGGTTGGTTTGCAAGTGAAGTTTCAGTACGTGCACAATGCTCTCCTGCATTTTTTCAATGTGTCCTACATTTACAAGACCAGGACGATCTGTTCTCAAAACAAGCAAAAGAACACATGTCATAATTTCATAATGACTCGTAAAAGTATAGTTAGAGGTAGAACTGAATCTTCAAGAAGGATTGAAGCTTTTCCATTAAAATTATTAAATCATGTAAGGGAAATTTTAAGATGTACCGCCTTAGACAACAAATATGTAATGCTTACCTCCACAGCAAATGATTGCAGCAACAAAAAGGGATATATCACTATCATCCAAATCCAGTGCATTGAATTTCATTGCAAAATCAAATTTTGGCTCCATTATATCACAGAATGGCTTTCTCAGGCTTTTCAGGAACTCCCGGGTTATAAAACCATTCCCATAGGCTACCAGCATCCCGTCCTTGTTCATCACAGAGGCCAACATGGCAAATATGGCTTCATAAACTCCGTATTTTAATAGTGTCACTTGATCGTTCAAGTCAAGGTTGGAGAAGCCAGGGATGGATTTGGCAAACTCAGTAAGTTCTGTGACGGTCTCTACAGACGTGCACTGGCAGCAGTGGAATATTCGAACTTCTGCTTCCTTGTTCTGAATCCCATTTGCTACCAATTTTGCCACCAGGGTCTTCTCTGCCATACATAAGGTATCCATATCATGGATAACAAATGGCTACAGAGCAAAAAAAAAAAAAAAACCACTAATGTAGTTATAAAATAAAGGCTATTAATCATTTTCTTCCTAAAGAATAGGAATTTTGATAAACTTTGATTTACATGCTAATCAGACTCCAACCTACTGTAAACCCTGAGCTCTTTCCTATTTCTGCATCAGGAGAAACACTGTATGAAAGAACTACGAACTGCGATACCTAAAAAGTCTTCCCTGCAAACACCACTGCAAACAGTCCAATGTAAAAGTGTCTTTAATTTAGTTTGATCTAATGGTTACAGTGAAGCTCCAGGAGTCCTGGGCTTAGCATGCATATACCCATCTCAGGGCAAGTACCAGAAGGTTCACAAAAGACTTGTATTACCTTCTCCAGAAGCCCAGGCTATTCTGCCTACACTCCTATCAATTCCTAAACTAACTACACCTGATGCACATTGTGATGTTTTCCTGAGGTATCCTCAGGAGGAATACAGATAGTCATTTCAATATAGGACTGCAGTGTGAACCCTGCATTACTCCTGTGTTTCGCTATCAGATTTTTAGAAACCATATCCCTGCTGTCCCACCTTTCTAACTGCAGCTGGTGCTGAGTCATCTCTAAACACAGAATACCACTAGAATGTCAGATAACACAAAATTTGGTCTTTCCCATACCCCCCTTTGTTTAGAAAGGTATGAGCATTACAAACTGACAAGCCACTCTCTTAAAACATCCTATGAAAAGCAGCTTTCAGCCTTTCTTCAGAATAATCAGAACTCAAAAATATTTTGATACATATCTGCAGAGCAATAATCAAAACAAAGGGCAATCCACTGAAGAAAAACAACAAACCCCAAAACTTCCCAGCCTAGCAGAGTCATGGCAACTGACCTTGAACAGAAATCTAGTTCCTTTCCTCTGCTGTTTTGCTCATCTCAGATTAAATGCCTCGAGAAGCACTTGGTGGTCTGTTAGAAACTCATAGGATTCATTTATTTCACTCAGAAAACTGTCAAAGAGGTGAGTTTCCTATGGTTGTCCACTTTTTAAATGCTTATGGCAACTACGTATTCCACCTCTCACTAGCACAGAGCAGAACTTTCTATGGGCAGGTGGATATGAGTGTAAAGTGAGACAGCAAGAAACCCACCACACCTCTAAATTCTTTTAAATATGTGTACTACTACCTTATACACATTTTTTTGGAATTTATCATCATATCACTACGCAGAAAAGAGGTATGGCCAAGGACTTAGGAGCTAAATTTTAAAAATGACACCTTAGTATCATGAGAAATGCTTGTTCATTCTGAAATTAATTGCAGTGGTGCCATAAATTAGGACTCACTGAAATCAGCTGTTAAGGCACAGCTTCAAAACAGGTGGGTTGCTAATTACAAGCAACAAATCCCTTCTTTTAAAATTTGTTTCACTGCTAAAAAGTCGAAAGAAAACTAAAATGTTCCTTTTCTCAAGAGATGACGAAATAGGTTAAAAACCCCTCTCCTCTTCCTTGCACATTGAAAAATTTGGAGGCATAACACACTAGGTCTGATTCCTCACTAATTTTTCCTTGTAAATACCCCCGACACGCCAGGCACCATGGGCTGCTCAAGCATGTGGCTGTGACCATGCACAGGCAAACACAAGAACTGGAATGCAGTGCTCTGTGACCCATCCCTGTACATGAATACATATCATTCTGCCTTATGGTTCTGATCGGTGGCGACATGTAGAAAAGGGACTTTCTGCAGAAACCCACCCAGTGAGGTGTTAAGGGCGGTATTTACTGTAGCCTTATGTCAGCTTCTACCCCCTAAAATGTTTAGGCCTGTGCTTAATTTTACACATCTCTTTAATCCAATGAAAAAGCCTGGGATAATTCATATGTCTCTCCTTTAATGCAGAAAGCTGTAGGCTTGCCTAGACTAGACTGCAATATGCCAAATCCCATAATGTGGAAGACAGCTTGCTTGTAATTTTTATAACACTCATCCCCACACTTACATGGTTTTCATTACGGCATATGAAAACCTCTTCCCTGCAAATTTTTACTGAAACTGAAGTTGCTGGTAAAATAAAATACTTATCTTCTACATGTAAGTAACAAAAGTCACAACTGAACCTAAATAAATGTGCAAGAAATGAAACAAGCCAGTCCTCACAACGATTATACACTCTCCTGTGACAGAAAACAAAAAGCAGGTGGATAGCATTAGGTAGACCTTGGCTTAGAGTATTATCCTGAAAGAAAAATAACTTCTACAGCATACGTGTCTTCATGACCTTGCTTCTGCCTCTCAAAGTAACTGTATAGTAAAAAAGCAGAGGCCTGGGTGAGGAAATGGCCAGCACTGTCAATAAAAAATTACTAACTCGTTTTCTTTCCCCTCCTGCTATTAATATTGTTCTGATTTAAAAAAAAAAAAAAGTCATGCAGAGCTCCTGTACAGCCTACAGGATAACAGTATTTATTCTGGCATTTGTGACAGAAAAACATTATAATTTTTTTTCACTGTCATAATAGGAAATTAATTTTGAACCATTTCCCCCATATCAAGAGCTATTCACATTCAGGTGCCACTTTGTTTTTTGATTAATAACTAATTTTCATTCCCACGTGTGTCTGTTACAATTTAATTTTATGAGTTTCCACTTACATGTTAATTACCTGACTTTCCTAAAGCCTCGTACTATTCTGATAGGGGTTAAAAACAGCCATATTAGGACAGGTATTCTTTTTGAATATTTCATGTCTGCAGGAGCCTAATATTTATTTTCTAAAAGATTTGCTAAAGAGTTTAACAAATTATTATGATCACCTTATGTACTTGCCAGCTTTATCTTAAAGTAACAGAAAAAGTACTTACCGGATTGTTATTGGTTTTCCCTGCAAGGATGATTCTGGCTTTAACCTTGTTCATATTGAAGTTTTTCAGGTAAGCATCATGAATTCTTTTGGCAAGTGATTTAAGATCTGCCATCTCTGAATCTTCTACATAATTTTCACCTGTTAGAATTTCTGCTTTCAGTTTGGCCTTCTCAGACCTTGGCATTCTTCCAAAACGTATTGCTGATGGAAGATATAATTGTAAAACAATAAAGAAATTAAAGGCTTTTACCATTGCTGATTAAAGTAGTAAGACTTCCTGTCTAGAAAAACTGAGGTAGAGGTGAAGAAATCTCCTCCTTTCCAACACAGTTAGTGGTGACTAATACACTAAACTGAAGGAAATCAGACGTTTCAGAACACAAACTGGTATCTGCAGTTAGGTAGAACACATGCCTTTTCCCTCCTACATTACCTAGGTACTTGTATTTTGTTTTCTCCTTATTGTGTTCAACAGCTCCCAGCATGAAACTCAAAGTCTGCCTTGGGAACTGCAACAAACTGAGTGAACTCCTGACAGGAGCTGGCAGAAAGCACACACACCAGCTGGAGAGCTGCAGCAGAGGCCAGCCTGGATCCCACTGCTGGCTCTGAACACTCCTGGGTACGGAGGTCTCCTGGTTCTTGGACAAGTGGTCTTGCCATTTAGCTATAAATCAGGTGAGTCCACCTCCTTCAGTCTCAGTTTCAAACTAAATCAGCTCCACTTTAAAAAGGGCCTTACCCACTGGAAGTGTGCGAGAGTTTGAGATGGCTCTTACAGCGAGTTACTCATTCTGCATTTCAGCACCCAAGCAGGGACCTCGCTGCTTGGACTGAGCCATTCAGGGCATGTGCAGCATTAGCCCTCACATCTGTCCAGGAGATCTTCTCATGAAAGAGGTAACTCTGGACATGATCTGACAAACAGCTGTGGACTTCAGTGGGAGTCCAACATGGAAGGCCTGTTTGGAATCTGGCTTAGGTGCTTCCTTTCCCTTACGGGTGGCCATCGCAGCAATCTAATGAAAAAGTGGAAGAATACCTGCTCTAAACTGAAACATACAGTTTTAAGGTCATTGCTGTAAATTTAGTTCTAGCTTTTATCCTGAGAAATATTGCCAGTGTCTTAAGTAGGGGGAAACAGCTTCAAATGGATGTCAGTTCCTGCCAACCAGCACAGCTCCCCGCTCAGCTCCTGCCCCTGAGGTGTCACTGGCTGGCATGCTTTTCCCAAGTCTGCTGCTTCAGGGTAGATACCACCAGTCTTGCAGAGACTATCAACCCTTTCCCAATGGACCTCAGTCTCAGTCAAGGCTCACCACAAGGGAGCAGAACCAGAAAGTCAACTCTCCCGATGCCTCATGCTGGGACTCTTGACTACAATGTCATAAGCAGCTTCCCCAACTATGTTCCCACCCCAGCTATCCTGACTGCATAGTTTCCTTAGGAAGTTTGTCTCCTAACCCAGAGCTTTTCACCTAGCCCAGAATTTTCACCCACTTCCAAACTGCACCTGCCCCCAAGTTCAGCCCTGGCAAGACCTGACCTATGTAGGGAAAGCAAACTACTGTCATCTGGCCAACAAAATGTGCTTTCTTCATGGCTTGGCCTCTCCCTCTTCATCCATGTTGCTCAAGAAGCTGTGTCCTGCCTCGTGGTTGAAATTGGTCTGTAAGCCACAGACTTTACCACCCTTATCTTAAATCACCAACACAAACAAAACCATAACTTTTAAACTGGACATATAAGTGCTCTGAATTTTTACCCTTCTATTTAACAAACAAGCTGCTGGATTCCTGTGCCACAGCCAGCACAGACCTTCACCCTCCCCCCACCTCCACTTTCTGAACCATCTGCTCAAGAGCTTTTGCACTGTAACCTGAAAAATAACAAAGTCTGCTTTCCTACAGATTTCCATCCTACGTCATTCCCTCTCACAATGAGCTAGTTGTTCTCCTCCTACTCCTCTACAAAGCCCTTGATCAGAATTCTTCCAGTACTGAAATTTGATTCAATTGGAGTACTCATGCCAAAGTTCTGGGTGAAGAAAGCAAATAAACGAACATTCATATGGACAAACTGACATCCAGCACAACTGTGTAAAACTCATAGTGGCACATTTGGCAGCTCTGTAACAGCTACGTGAACCCACCAGGGAAACTGGTGTCCCCTGCCGGGATCTATCCCATAAGAAATCTGAGGTTCAATCCACGTGTATGAGTAAAAACACTGTCCAAATGCCTGCTTCCAGCAGCAGACTCTGGGTAGGAACAAACAAATTAAGGGTACTCTTACCTACCATTATGTGACATTCCAACTGAAAGGCACTTTTGAAAACGACAGTACTGGCACTTATTACGATTTTTTTTCTGAATTTTGCAGTTGCGATCACATTTATCATAGATGAGTTTTAAACGAATTGTTCTTCTAAAAAAGCCCTATAAAGAGTTTGAAAAAACAATATGTAATGTTAAAGAATGTTGACTATTAAACTTCAATTATACAGGTAATTTTTTTTCTTTTATTGTTTAGTGATGTCACTTGCAAAACAATTCCCAAGGTATAACCTGTCTAGAAGTACAGATACTCGTGGTGGAGTGGTGGTCCGAGGGCATGTTCAGAATGGAGAACATGACAGGAGGGAGCAGCTCTCAGCCCTCTCTCCTGGGGTAAGTAACCAAGAACCCAGAGTACCTGAGCAGATCTGCACTTAGGGATGAAACAGAACAGTCACATATTGCTTCTGTTCGTGTTCTCTCAGTGTCCTCTGCCAGAAATACCCTTCATCTTCCACAGTGTAAGTCTCACACACACACAGAGAATCAACAGGCTTTCTTCACCCAGCGCATGCGAGGGGTATGAGGACACAGCGCAGTGCACAGAAGTGCCAAGGACACAAAGCTGAGTGTTACAGAACAGTCTATACCCCAACAGTTCTCACCACAATGTCTTGATGCTGGTTACAAACTCTGAAACCATGGGGGCAGCAAATCCACAGGCAACCCAACCTTTTGTGCCACGATACAACGACATGGCATTTAGACCCGGGGACACACCTGCCTGTGGACTGGTTCCCCACCTCTAGTAGCTACTCTGCATTATTCCGTACAATTTATATTCACATGATCATATTCTCTCATGGTGCATGAAAGAAAACTGCACACAGAGACTATTTCTTTCCTCTCGTGTTGTAACGCAAAAAAAAGTCGAAAACTAAAACATTAGATGAAAAAGAAAAGAATCTTATAATTCATGGGCCATATCATCCCAAAAAAATGATACATTCATGATTAGAGTAATTTGCCCCAGAGATGTGCCCTGGCCCCAAAACTACAAGAGGCACAATGCCAAGTGATTCAGGCAGGGATGAGAAATTCGGGATTTGTTACTGTTACAATGGAGCCCTAGCAGACTGGAACGCTCCTTGCAGCCATACTCCCCCACAAAAAAAAAACACCAGGGGAGCAGGAAGGCTTTCATTTTTGGTCACAGTTTGGTGTTTTAAGTTGTTTTAGTGCTTAACTAACTATATCGAGAAAAGCAGTGTTAAAATGATCATTGCAAATTGCTCCTGCTTGATAAAGGTCTGCTATTGAGTTACGGTGTCTGAACAACTTACTTCAGGAAAAAGATCACAGATATGTTTATATTTAAATAACTGTAATGGCTAGAACTGTCACAATCAAACATTTCTGTACCAAATGTTTATGCTCACATTAGCCTGTAAATAAAGCAACGTTGATTTAGGTTCTTAAGAAGAAAATGATGACTGTACCTTACAGCCTTCACAAGCATGTACTCCGTAATGGTAGCCTGAGGCTTTATCCCCACATATTCTACATTCGATGTTTAATGCTCCACTGGATGATTCATCTATGCTACCTGGAGCTGTGGCAAAATTAATGGATGAAGGACTGGATGCTGGTGAAAGGGTGTCTAAAAGAAAAAGGAACACTTCATAAATACTATACAACAGTATAGTAAATACAATTTCTAAATTAAATTAAAACCATATAAAAAAATGAGCCTTTTAAAAAAAATAATCTTGAGTTAAAAGTCATTAAATGAACTAATAGTTTGACCATAAGTCTTTGAAAAATAATTCATATTACCAGTGCAAACACACACAAAATACAGGGTGTAGCTTGCTAATTTTGATGGGACACACAATGTCAACAAGAAAAAGCTTTACTGAAGTGACTCTGGAAACAAGAACTAGAGGGGTGATAATGGACTCACTAAACACACACCACACTCAGATATTTTATATTTTGCTTATAACGGGAAAAGCATTTCTGAATTGTACAATGAAATAAACTCTCCAGATGTGTTACTAGTAGATGATATTACAAAACTAACCCATTCCAACCTTAATTATTTCAATTAATATTTCCACCTTGTTTAAGAAAAATATTTTCTGAGGCCAGAATTTCTTCTATCTTCCATCTTGCAACTTGCACCACAAGACTTCAGCAAATTAATGGGTGTGTTATTTTAACAGACAGATTAAGAAACACTCATGAATGTAGGTCAGCAAGTATTATGTTGGAAAAAACCTTGGCATAGAACTCAGAGTCTGCCTTGCCAGTGCTGCCAAGCCCACAGGCATCAGAGTCATCAAGAACAGCCTAAGCTCCAGGACTTTTTTTAAAGTGTGGTTTCTTTCTACTTGCCTTATGGAATTTGAGCCTTGGAAGTTTACATTCTGCATCTTCTTTAACCACAAAATTAGAACATTTTGCAATGAACACTAAATATTCAAATGAGAAGGTGACAGTAGAAGGTGATCTAAATCATTGTAGGCCTTGTACAAACTTACACACAAATAATTGCAAAACCTCCTGTCTGAAGGACTGTGTTACAAACACGTATAGACATATATAAAGCACATCATAACTCTTCCTGTGCAAGGCATCCCTCTAATGAGAATGTTTGCAACCAAAAGGGAACCAAATCATAGTTCTACAAACATCCCTTAGGCCAACAGTGGCAAGAGGCAGCTCCCCCTGCTCCCTTCCAAACTCACACAGTTCTATTATTTCAGGCTCTGTAAGGTGGAACGGGGATCACAGGCTGGGAATCGATTTAAAGTAAGAAACCCCTAAAACCAAAACATAATGTAAAGCAACCAGAAAGTTAATTGTAAACTACTTCAAATGGCTCTACAGCTAAAAGGTTTGCAACCCCCCGGGTTTAACACGAACACCTCACTGACGTCACCACAGTGTCCCACACCCTGCAGTGATTCCCGTGCTGATCTCTCCAGTAAAGCCTCTCACAAAGGTTTTTGACTCAGGACTAGTAATCTATGAGCACTGAGACTGCAACTGGCTAGTAATAATTATTTTCAAAAATTATTTTGCAAAAGGTGTTGATAATAATGGTAATTTACAAGAGAAGCTTCAGTTACAGTCATTTTTCAGTGACATTTGTCTAACAAACTAACTTAAATATTGTAAGACCATGCTATAATCAGTTTATATATTTCTAGTGTCTCTTCATCATAAACAACAATTTAATAGGTTTTTAATTTCTATCACTATATTTATAAAAGAAAGGTTTGTGATAAACCTTACCTGTTATGACTGAGCCATCAGATCCTGGGCCATTTCCCAGTGACTGGAACTCTGTTAAGCTTAAAGCACCAGAACTATCATCACCTAGAGACTGGGAGAGGTCTTGAATGTTCTCCATATCTTGTAGGAACTCTCCAGATAAAGGGCTGTCTATCTCCTCCTCCTCCAAGGGAGTAAGGGGATAGAGCTGGTTTTCAGTGTCCACCATTTTGATCAAGCAGAGCAGTCACTTAAACTTCTTTACACTGGTGAAAGAATAATTAAAAAAAAAATCAGACTATTAATTTTTTTCTAAATACTTCAACCAGTTGCAGCACACTGGATACAGGAATTCTAATCCAACACTGTGGAGTATTATACAACATTCTGTTGCTCTGGAAGCTTTATGCAATATGAATCATCAACAACACAAGGGGAGGGGGGGAATGCCCCAAAAGACTTCAACATGAATGAAAGTTAAGACAAGATCAATCTGTAGATTGTCGTTTCCTCTCCATTGCTGAGAAAAGTTACATACTGTGTTTCTACAAAAGGCACTATGCACTTCCCACCGAAATTTATAGAGAAATAACAAACATCAATATCCCACTCACTCTTCATGAGCAGGAAAAAAATGAGATGCTATCACTAACTTTTCATCTCATACTACAAAGACCTTAGTACGAATCTATTTGCCCAACTTCTTGGAAACAGGATAGTTTTAACTAAAAAAGGAAAATTATTCTGTATCACACAGTGCAGCAAATAAGAATATCTAGAAGACCAATTATGGGACTTTATCTGTGATTCCCAATATCAGTCACAGGCAACAGGTGTGTTTCTGTACCAGCTGTGCTTTTAATGAGAAGCTCCACACACCCTGGCCATGTGTGCTGGCACCAGAACCCCCCGTGCCCTGGGCTGATCCCACAGCGTGGGCAGAGTCAGGAGGGACCCTTCCCTTCTGCCCTCCCAGCTGAGACCCCACTGCAGAGCTGCCTCCAGCCCTGGGGAACAACAGCACAAGGACGTGGAACTGCTGGAGCGAGTCCAGAGGAGGCCACGGAGATGCTCCCAGGGCTGGAGCCCCTCTGCTCTGGAGCCAGGCTGGGAGAGCTGGGGGAGTTCACCTGGAGAAGAGAAGGGTCCAGGGAGACCTGAGAGCCCCTTCCAGGTCCTGAAGGGGCTCCAGGAGAGCTGGAGAGGGACCTCAGACAAGGGACAGAGGGGCAGGACAAGGGGAAATGGCTTCCCACTGCCAGAGGGCAGGGATAGATGGAATACTGGGAAGAAATTCTTCTCTGTGAGGGTGGGGAGGCCCTGGCACAGGTTGCCCAGCTGTGGCTGCCCCATCCCTAGAAGTGTCCAAGGCCAGGTTGGATTCTTTAGGAATGTATGAACACATACCCAAGGAAAGTGGCACATTACTGTAGATAATCTGACAAAGATTTTATGGCTAAGCCTTCTGCAGACATTCAGAACAATGTCTACAATTTCATGAAGACTCAAGATACAGAGACGCTTTGCAGATGAAGAGTCCCTTCCAAAATGGAAAGAAGAAAAGAAAGAAAAGAAAGAAAGAAAAGAAAGAAAGAAAAGGAAAAGAAGGAAAAGAAGGAAAAGAAGGAAAAGAAAGAAAAGAAAGAAAGAAAGAAAAAGAAAGAAAGAAAGAAAGAGAGAGAGAGAGAGAGAGAAAGAAAGAAAGAAAGAAAGAAAGAAAGAAAGAAAGAAAGAAAGAAAGAAAGAAAGAAAGAAAGAAAGAAAGAATAAAAGAAAGAATAAAAGAAAGAAAGAAAGAAAGAAAGAAAGAAAGAAAGAAAGAAAGAAAGAAAGAAAGAAAGAAAGAAAGAAAGAAAGAAAGAAAGAAAGAAAGAAAGAAAGAAAGAAAGAAAGAAAGAAAGAAAGAAAGAAAGAAAGAAAGAAAGAAAGAAGAATCAACTGCAAACACTTATGGTTAACATCAGCTATTATTCTCTGCCAATACGTTCAATCTTGAACACCTCTGTATCATTTCTCTGTTGAGGCAGCATGAATAAGCCCAGTAAACACCTGGAACTAGCTGTGCTGTTTGCTCCTGGTTACCTATCAAAATCCCTGACACTTAAATTGAGAAATGAGAAATCAGTTGTATGTACCTGCGAAAACAAAGTTAAATTGCTATCCCTGAGACGCAGCTATTTTGCGACAAGGGAAAAGCGCAAAGAAACCTCGATGTACATTGGTTTTGTGATGATAGCTGAGAATAACTGTTCTCCAACAATGCAAACGAGACTACCAAATTTGTCTCCCTAAGGCAGCATTAAAAAAAAGGAAGGAAAGAAAGGAAAGGCTTGGGAGCTGAACTCTGAACATGGCAACAGCTGCCTGGTATCGCCCAAAGTGCACCATCCTTTTCCACATTTACAGCCAGTATGTAAAACTCAGCAGCCTTTTGAGCTAAATTTATATAAAAACAACCTAACAGCTAGTGAAACATAAATTAAGTGCTTCTTGTTTTAACTATTACATACCCTTTTGTACTTTCAAACACTACAAGTAAATTACAGCTGCTTAATCATTACAGCTCTTGTCAATGATTAACTGGTACCTGAGCAAGCATAACCATCTCTGAAGACTGTCAAAATATACTCATATTTGCATTACTGAAAAAGTTATAGTTGATTTTTTAAAAAAAAACACAGAAAAACTTTAAATAATATGTCTAGTATTCATGCAGTAAACTGCCTTCTGGCTTCTCTGTGTTTTGGGCATGTTTACACATGTATATGCTTTCATTGGCAGGTTTCACATAATAGGCATTGATCCTTGCTTGTAGGAAAATAAATCTTCTAAAATAAAATGGGTAGTGAGTATGAAGATCATTTAAATAATATTCCCAGAGAGTGTTTTGCTTTACAAAAATCTGTACATGTTACAACAGTAGATGTGGTAGCTGCAGCGTGATGATTCCACTCAAAGATCTACGTCTTTTTTTACAAAAATTCTGTGCCACAAACGTATTCCCAGAGGATTTTCTTAGTTTCCCATATAATACTTTAGTCTCCATAACCCCTTTCCTACCCCAACATAACACATGCACAAAGTAAACTGAAAACAGGAGAACAGAACATAGCAAAATAAGGACACAATTTCATGTAATTATGATGTTAAGGTTAAACAGGCTTTACTGGTGCTCTCTCACATCCTGTGATCTCTGAAATATCTCTTTTTCCAAAAGAAGTCTTTCCCACCACCACACTGCAAATACCCACTGAGTAACTTACCTATAAACCTGAAACAGGTCTCACAGAAATCCCAGTCAGATTATCCCAGAAAAGTACCTAATTGTGCAGCTATCGACTCTTTCCTTCAGTTTTGGAAAGGGATGGAGGGACACTAAATCCCTGGCCCTTCCACATTTAATACTTGCCACAGCAGGGATAATCCCTGTAAGGAAACAAGTCTCTGAGATGCAAAGGTCTCTGGGAAGCAGTGCCAAAGTCTGAACTTACTGCATACACAAATTGATCGTGTAAAGGGCTTGCTTGCAAACACCAAGGTTAAAGTTGAAACAATCATTACCTCCAGGTCACTTGGAGAATGCTGGGGCTGAAAAAACAGCACAAGTAAAACTAGTGATTGCAGTAGATGCTTTTAAAAAAGTTAGGTGAATAGGAAGAGCCCTGAACATGTACACTGCGGGATATTTCCAATGTCTCGATTAAACACATAAAAAACAACTGAAAATAAAATTTGGCACCTAAAATGTCACACTCGGACTTCTATCTGGGAAAGAATGCATATTTTCTTCTCTATCATGCGATGATTCACTTTTCATACTCTGTAACCTTACATACTAGTAATATTTTATATTTTACAAAGTATTAAGAACCTAAGACAAAGAGAATGTACTATGCTCGTGATGAAAAATTTTCACAAGCAACCCCTTCATCAAGACTGCCAGTTCCACACCCCTCTCCTGAAAGAACTCACACTGGAAAACTTTGTCTTTCTTCCCTTTAGGCAGCTGTACTCCAGGATAGCATATGAAATTTCTAAGTACCCTTGCCTTTAAAAGAAATCAAAATTCACATATCCAAATTTTGAAAATCAATAGTAAAACTGTAAAGATAAGACCTTAAAAGCTATGTAAGGAAAATTCTATCAACTTTGATTCGGATTCTCTCCCCAGTCCCATGGCAGGGCAGGGAGCAAGAGGACCTGTGGGGCTCGGTTGCCACCTGGGGCGAAGCCATGACAAAGTGCTAAAAACAAGCTGAGAATATTTCTCTTTTTTTGGTTTTATATCACTTAGCCAAACCCAAGGAAAACTGACTGAGACAGGAAGCTGCGTTTCTTTGGTCCCAGGATTTTCTGTCCCCTTGGATTTTAAAAGACATTGCTTGGTGTGTATTACAGATCAGTGTCTCTGAACAGGACCACTCATCCCCCTTTTAAATGCAGCCTTTCTGCTTTAACTGTTCTGCTGCATTCCAGACCCTTGTGATTACATATTCACAATTTCCTCCAATACTTTCTTTCACGTATGTAACACATTCATTATATATACACTAAATAGTTCTCAAAATTGTTTGTTTTGCCAGGATTACTGTTTGAGATGCAACTAATAACAGGATAGCAACAAAACCATTCAGGAGATAATTAAACTATTTATTTCAAATATCATATCCTCTCACTTTCACACAGATGCAGTTACTAAGGGAGCAAAAATGACAAGGCGGAAATTAATTTTCAGCAAACAGAAATAAGAGAGGGTAATTCACCTCACCTAGTGTCAGACAGCTCACTTAACATGTTTAGGTTGAGAGGAGCTCAATGGAATTTTCAGAGCCATGACTAATCTTCGAGGCCATGATTACATACTAAAGACGTGGTACTTTACAATGAGGTTCCTTTCCTGATCCAGTTCACTGCAGAGCCTTACAAATATTAGTGCTGGCTCTATGGAGGGAGCAGAAATAAGCAGCTGGGGAGAGGGATACACGTGCTGCATGGCCAACGAATAAATGTGCAATTGCAGTCTGAACCTCTCCTGCAGAATGCAGTGATGGGTCTGTAACCCTGGCACTTGCACTGCCTGAAGTAAAGAAGCCAGTGCCTCTTCAGGTCTCTGTGAGAGATGAAAACTGCTTTACAGACCAGACAGCATCTTTATTAGATTAAGTGGTATTATCATCTTTTGACAGGGCCATGGAGGTCAGGATCATGCAGGCTAGTATGGGCACATCCTCCAGATACTCATCATCCTTCCAGCACTAAACTCCCA